GTTCTCGACTTCCAATTCCTGATGGTTTTGAGATCTGTCCGACTGTCACTGCGGCTTTGTAAGATCCTCGTGCAATTTGTGACATTTAGGCTCTTTTTTGGACACCTTGAATCCGTTTTACATTACCCGGCCACGGCAGCAGTATTTGCTTTCTAACATTATTTAAGCTAACCATGAACCTAGACCACCAATCCTTCCTTTTCTGCCTGATTTTCTGGTCTAGAATACAACGCGCCCATACAAAACCTTCTATCGGACTGTAATTCTTGTCTGAGTCATATGGGGGGTCTCTGGTAATGTAATCAACTGTTAGAAACTGTGCGCGACTGCCAGCAGTCTAGGAGGTAAGCGCGTTTCTGCTCCATAATTTACAAAATTTAAAATCCTAATCACCGTGTGAGGAGAATTTTACCTTTCATCCTTTTTTCTATCAAATTGTCTTCGTTTCATTGATCAAATTTTTCGCTTTGTTTTTAGTTGTGAGCATAATATTAATTTAATAGCACGGATCTACGTTCACTTTGCAGTCCTTCAAAATAATTGGCCTTCGTTTTACATCTCGCCGCCCCAGAAGTTTTTAAAATTCTGTGACGTTTCTTTTTCACTTCGACAAAAAACGTTTTCTAAATCTAATTCTCATTCGATTCTCATCATTAGCGCATGCACTGTTCCAAGTTGTTGCAAATCCCCAGCCGAAATAGAGGAGAACATAGTTACAAGCACTTCCAATTATACCATGCCGGAACCACGTAACGCAACCACTTCACCTCATCAATGTGAACCTACCATCTCGAGAGAAGAGTCTAAAGAAGGTAGCCCGCAGAACAGGTGGTTTAGGAGGCTCTTCTGCAGGATAAAAAAAGGTTGGTTTGGTTCAAAAGTGCTTCCAGAGTCAGAACGCAATGTTCATGCTTCTCTATGTTCCATGATAACTGCAGTTACTTGTACAGACTCAGATGATGCAAAAAGCGTGCGTAAGACATCAGTTGCGGCATGTCCTTGCTGTGGAGAATATTTCGAGGTACCGCAACTTGTGGAACATGTTCCTCGCTGCAAGGAAGTTTCTAGGTTAAAAGCTGAAGAGCTCTGGCTGAAAGATGGTTCCCCATCCTCCTCGGTAATTGGAGTTGCTGACTGTATGGAAGATCCTTCAGTGTGTGATAGAGAGCTGTGTCCCACATGCCTAGAAGAGTTTTCCGTGTTGGAGTTATTAAATCACGCTGAAAAGTGTAGAGAAGAAGAACTAAGGACATGCGCAGATGTAGAGTATTCTCTGGAAGATGCTAGATTGACAATTGAGGATGACTGGAACGTGCGTAGCTTAGCAAGCTCAACAAAAACAAGGGAGGGGAGTGCTGATAGAGAAGCAGAAGATTCAAACGGCCTCATATCTCCGCCATATTCATATTATGACTGTGAAGAGCAGTGCCTGTACTGCTTGAAAATGTTTGCTGTGAGTGTGCTTGTGGAACACGCTTGCAACTGTGCAAGCCGCCATGAGGTAAGGTATTTTTACGAAAATATTCCATGAAAGGTCGAGGCTGAAATGAGTACCGGAATTGGACGTACAAATACATGGGCAGAAATTCTTGTGATAACGCTTATTAATAGTGTACAATAAAATTTAACTGACATGCCAAGCCAAACGAGAAGGAGTTGGAGAGAGCTGCGAAAAGGTAATGGTGCGAGTTGTACGAGATTTCACTCCTGAGTCATAAATCCCAGCAGGTCGAGGCGAAACGCGAAAAAACTCGCGACAGGAGGTTCGAATTTGTCATTATTTCTATCA